TTTAAAGGGTGGCGGTTTATTTGAATTTACGGCTGTAAAAAAGCACAAATTCGCTTTTATTGAGATGCATTGCGATATCGAGAGGAGAAAGAGTCCCGCCGCTAATTAAACCACGCGCTGATAATGCAGATTTACGGCGCGAATTCAAACAAACGATTACACGGCGGCGACCGATAATCTCGGCCCGCCGTTAAGCGTCGACTATAAATTCGGCCGCGGCTCGATTCAATTAAGCAGCACGAAATAAAACGCTTTGAAAAATTGCGGCGATCGATTGCTGCTGCTGTTAATGGCTTCTGCGAAATTCGCGTGTGCTTCCAAAAAGAAGTGGCGTCAAAGCAGCCTGATTAAAAAATTTGATGGATGGTATTTGCAGAAGGCGGAGACAAACTTTTTTTGTCCTTTAAGAAGGGCCATTGTGTGTCTTGAAAAAATCTGTGGTTGATTCATTATCCAGTTTTTATTCCATAGGATCAGTATAGTTTATCATCCAAAATTTAACTCCAATCGATATAAAAATAAATTTCTCTGGAATTTTAAAAAAAATTTTAATGAACTGAATATTTATACTTTAGAAGAAAAAATAAATTAAGGAATGAAAGTGAAACGTTAATCTTACTTACAATCAAATATATCCTCTGGTAGTTATAATTTAATAACTATATCAAAACATACAAAAGTTTAAACGTAAAAATGAGTTGATCTATTGGCTATTTTTTTCAGTATTAATAATTTATCCCTAGATCAATTTCAACTGAGACTATCAATTAACTTAAATGATTAAATTTTTTTCAATATTTATTCATAGTTTACATAAACTTAGATGAGAAGCAACTAATTCATTTAAAATTTATTTATCTAATTTACATTACCATTGTCTACTGTCTAGCGCAGATCAATTTATTAATTAAAATTAGTTTTTAAACTGTCAAATAAACTTTAAAGTAACTTGATATTAACTTAAAATGTAATTAATAACTTTTACTCTAACAATGATGAAAAATAAAATAATATGAAGATAATTTTATTGAAAAGAGTAAATTTATAAAATAATTTTAACATATACAATAATCATATTAAAATTATATAATAACATAATTATAAAATTTGTTGTAATTAACTTGCATTTATTCTAAAATAATTTCCTCAAACAATTGACAATGAATTTAACAATGCCAAATAAATGAAAGAAATATATGACAATAAATACTTAATTTTTTTGTGATAAAAGCTTAGAAAAAAATATGAGAATAATCAAGGCATAGCTCAAAGCGCTGTAATATCCACGTAAATATATAGTTAGATATTTGAATGTGTCCCAATTTTGCTATGTTTTATGATTTGGTTTATATAATTGGTGAAACAAAGTTTAGCAGCGCCCCTTTCAGTGTTCAAATGACATTTGAGCTGATTTTCAGGTGTCACATAACAAATCAAAGCGAAAACAGGAATCTCGTTCCATCATCACACGCCACACTTCTGCTTTAATAAACCATCAATTTGGAGTGCAAAGCTCTACATCAATATCCATTTGATTATACAAACCGCGAATGTTTGCCAATACTCGACGCCGAATCGCAATTTGTGTAAATTTGCACTGATTTCCCTTGGGATGCCGAAAACAGGAATTCGCGTGGCCAAATCGAAACTAATCCGCAAATTGCCGAAATTAAACGATTGAATCAGTGGGAAAAAAACAGCAGCAGAAAATATATGATGGTAGAAGAATTTGAATAATATGGCACAGGCGGGCCGCATGGAAACGGCCATTGAGAGCATAAATTTGAATACATCACCCACTGTAGCACAAGAATAACTCAATTTCCCTTTCAAATGTTTTGTTTGCCGTGTTTTTCGGACACACAAGCATTATTTCTGCGGGGATTGGTGAGTTTCTCTCTCTCGCAGGTTCGCGAGCGTGCAATTGAATCGACCCAGGCTCTTCTCTCATTTTCATTAGCAGAGCTAGGGAGTTCAAAGGAGGCGAGCACAAAGTGGTCCAGCCGTGGCAAATCAAAATAAATCGTCGCGCCACAAGCTGGGCTCATTTTTCATGCGGCTCCTTCTTGGGTGTCATTCCCGGAGAGGCATGCAAATTGCGATTGCGCGTGATCAATCACTCGGCCGCCGGATGCTTGGGGAACGCCAAGATTGCGGTCTTGCACAAACTCACCTTGCAAACAATGCAAATGCACAAACAAATCAAACAATCCTGGTTTGGTTAAATAAAGTGCTGATTTTTGTAGATTCATAAATTTTTTAAATGAAATTCATTCACGGGTATTATTGAATCCTAGTGATTAGAGGATGTCAGATTTTAATTGATCAAAGTTTTAATTGTTATATTATCACCCTCATTACTTTAAATAATAAAGTACAAATAACTTATTTTCTTCTCTCCGAAAATCAAAAAGGATTCACTAGAGTAGACAATTCATACATACTTAATGCATAAACGCACGCTTAACACATCATTAAAGTTATTGCTATTTTTTTATTTTCCATCAAACCAGAACAAATTTTCCCCCTTTTGTAATATCTTGTATTCAAATAATGTTCAAGGTTATATGAAAAATAAAAATCAGTTTTGCTTCTCATATTTCTTTTGTATTTCATATATTTATCATTTATGGATCATCTATTCAGCTCAGAATCATATTTAAACTCTCTATGAAATGCTTAATTGCAAGTTTCGCGGGTGTAACGCAGCAAGACCAATGATATCAATTACCTTATTTTGCTCAAATATCTGAACCATGGTATTTATAAATTTATGTTCACAAAATTTTTAAAATGTTTAATGAACCCTAAAGTAACGTGATATTAACTTTAAAACTGATTAATATCTGTTACTCTAATAATAATTAAAAAATAAATAATATTAAAATAAATTTATTCAAAAATTGAAGAGAGTAAATTTATAAATTTATTTAAAAAGTATATAAAAACAAAATAATTTATTCAAATATATAATCATACATAATTTTAAAAGCTAACATAATTAACTTTCATTAATTAGAAAATAATTGACGAGGAATTTAGCAATTACAAATAAATGAAAAATAAATATAAGATAATGAATACTTACTTTGCCGTGATAAAAATTATATGATATTATGCCGTTTTATCTTAAAAGTAGTGGGTTTCCCCTGCACCAGAGAATTAATTTCAATTCTGCGCCACAATAATCCTGTTTTGTGTTTCAGGTAAGAATTTGTCACCCACAATGGGTACCTCCCTTGCGGAATACACGGGCTGCCTTTTCGACGGCCCCTGAGGTAATTAATCAGCAGCTTGAGCGGCACCTCCGTGTCACCCGTGCACGTATGTACCATAAACCCAGACAGCCACCCGATGAGCTCCTCTGATGCGACAGAGCTCACTCTGTGCATTATCTAGCTCTTGCCGCAAATATTGGCATAATCTTGCTTGGCTTCAGCCTCTCGCTTAAACCAAAATACATATTATTTTCCCTCAAGAGCCATTTTTTTTTAATTAATTATTAATTAGGTTTATTTTTTAAAGATTCTTCTTCAGCACTCAATTTTTCAAACGCGACGTGGCGAAACAGATAATCATTAAGGGTGAGAAACGACAAAACGATCCTTTCAAACTGCCACTCTAATTAATTTCACGTTCGAGTGGCAGCTCCAGAAATAGAACCTAGAGAAAAATTAAAAGCGGCTGTTAAATTTTGGATGGAGCTTTTGCGTTCGCAGGCGAACCGAATCGATTTCATTTCGGGTCAGCCGGCCTTTGTTTTTGCGACGGGCAAAGTTGCCTGCGGAAAGACTCCATTGTGTCAAACGGCTCAAAGTTGAACGCTTGCGGCAAAGCGTTTGATTGTGTTTACTTTTAAGTTGAGTCGCTCCCTCGATGGCTGCCGCTTTTGTGCCGACCGAATCTAATAAAGCCGCCGTTCGGAGCTTATTTTGATGGTGTCTAATCAAGAGTACTCGCACACAAAACCACTGGTAATGAACATAAGTATCAGCTCGGCTGGCTCTGGCTGTCGCGCCCGGCGAAAAGTTTCTCTTGGAATCGGTTCAAATAACGAGAGGAAGAACCAAGAGAGACTTTGCTCGCCGTTTTAATTCACCGCGCTTTGTTTGGACGACTCGGCTTGCATTTGAACGCAGACACATTCTGTCTCTCGAGTGGTTTTAATCAAATGAGATTTTCTTGTTGAAGGGACGATGAGAATGAAGCACTTCACTTAGTATATCACTGAGAATTTCCTCACGTTTCATAAAAGAAAGGATATTAATTAAAGAAACAATTTAACACTTCATAAGGATTTAGATTGCAATCAATTTTCATCAACTGAATTGCAATAGTGAAAATAATTTTTTAAATCTCTAATATATCAAAAGTATGAGTGCATGAAATGAATTAGTGGAAGTTAAGAATTATAAGTTTTGAAATATAATGAAATTTGATATTTAATTATTTTTAATTTTTATTGATAGGTCTATCTAAATTTTTCATTAAAGGTATGGAATTATCTAAGAATTTTTAAGAATTAATTTAATAGTTTATTTATCTCAATTGAGAATAAATAAATAAAAAAGAAAAATGTTATGAAAGTAATTCTTAAAAAATTCTTACTTAGATAATTCCATGCTTTTAATAAAAAATTTAATCAAACTGCTATCAATAAAAATAAAACAGAATTAAACAAAGATTAATTAAAACAAAAATAAAAGCTTGCCTTGAGAGCTAATGGAGATTAATTATTTACAGATTTTTATCTATAATAAACACGTATTGGGCTTCACTTTGAAATCCCTTAATTATCTAATGCTGACTTTCGACTCATTCCGATAATAAGATTGTGTTTAACATTTCAATTAAGCCGCGAGCTCGTCTTATCAATTTCGTTGATTATACTGAGCTGTTTACATGGTATTAATAAAGACTCTTAAAGTCCGCGCGCACGAGATGACCAATCGTTGCGTGATTGGACGATTTATCGGATGATAACATTCTGACCCATATTATATAAAACCAGATTTAGAGAATAACTCTAGTCGATCAAAACGGAGCTGCGAGTTTTGCATTTCACTGCCGAGAAAATGCGCTTGCTAGCAACGCTGACGTTGACGTTCTTACTCGGTAGTGGTGCCAACCCTTTGAGTAAAGAAAGAAGTTCAGTGAAACCGGTTTCAAGAGCCGATTACGAACTGCCAAAAGCAATCAAGCCGAACGCCTACGATATCACAATCATTCCTTACTTCGACAATGCACCGGAGGAAATTCTCAAATTTAGGTAACGAGACAAATAGCAACACCTGAAATTTAATTAATTTAATTCAAACTAATCAGATTTAAAGGAACCGTGATAATTGAAGTTGAGGTTTTTGAAGAGACCAATTTGATTCGGCTGCACGCTTATGATATGGACATCAATGAAAGTGACGTCTTCGTGTATGACGTAATTGAACCCAACGTCGCACTGCCGATCGTGTCCGTCGTCAGAAGCTCCGATGACAAACATTTTCTGGACATAACTCTCGGCAGTCTTCAATTGGTCGGCGTCAAAATGAACGTCGTCATTAATTATTTGGGCCGCCTTAACCTAGAACTTGATGGTTTTTACCGCAGCTCGTATGTAAATTATTTAGGAGAAACAAAGTAAGACTAAATTTGCGTTGTTTGAAGTCAATGGTATATAGATTTTTTTTTTATTTTAGATGGTTAGGGGTGACGCAGTTTTCGCCGACTGGGGCTCGCAGGGCTTTTCCGTGCTTTGATGAGCCATCGCACAAGGCCAAGTTTACATTTCACATTGCCAGAGAGCCTTTGAAAGACGTCACGTCAAACATGCCTGTCGTCGCTGCAAACAGACCAGTGTATTTTCAAATAATTTAATTTTATTAATTAATTTTAGTTTTGATTAAAATAGTGAAGGCCACAATGGATGGGTGTGGGTGGACTTTCAGCAGTCAATTTTAATGCCGACCTTTGTTGTTGCATTTACTGTCCACGACTTTGGCTCAATTACTTCTTCAAAAGATGATCGATTCAGGGTAAATAATTGTTAATTTTTGTTTAATTTTTTTTTAAATAATTATTGAAGATCTTGGCTCGCCGAGAGTTCATAGACACATCAACTTCTTACGCTCTTGAAATAGCACCAACCATTCTCGGATTTATGGAATATTTCACAAACTTCACATACGACTCGTCAATGAAACTGGACCAAACGGCCATTCCCGATTTTGGCCCCTACGCAATGGAAAATTGGGGTCTTATAAACTACAGGTTTTGCTCATTAAACTCTCAAATTTAAATAAATTTTAACCAATGAAATTGCTTTAGAGAAGTGGCTCTCCTGAATGATGCATTTTACTCGACGGCCGCGGACAAGCAAAAAACGGTGACGGTGATGAGCCACGAAATAGCGCACTTCTGGTTCGGAAACCTCGTCACCCCCGAGTGGTGGAACGAAGTGTGGCTGAAAGAAGGGTTCGCCACCTATTTTGAGTACATAGCCGCCGGCGTTGCAAGTCCATTCATTCGTTTGAGTCAAAGTGTTTTTGATCACGCGTGTTTTTTGCCAGGTCGAGCCGAGTTTCCAGTTGGAACAGGCTTTTATCAAAGAGGAGCTCCAGCCTGTTTTTGAAACCGATGCTGCCGAATCTAGCAAACCACTTACGGGCAATGTCGACAGTCCGGCTTCTATTCTCAGTGGATTTGGAAATATACCCTATAATAAAGGTTTATTGGTTAAGTTTATAATCAATAATGTATAAAAAAAAAATATGAAAATTTCAGGTGGATCAATTTTGAGATTTGTAAATGGCTTCCTTGGAAGTGAAAATTTCAAAGTAGGAATCCAAGCATACATTGATGCAAAGTAATTATTTTTTTTCAATTATTATTTCTATTTGAAAGAAATATTTATTTTTTTAAAACAATTTTAAGCAACTATGGCAGTGTAACAAAGGACTCGGTGTGGGCAAGTTTGTCTCCGTTCGTCCCTGAAGGTTTGCTGCCATCAGGAGTGACACTTAGGGATGTAATGAATACCTGGACTGACCAGCCGGGCTATCCACTCATAACTGTGACGCGAAATTACGACAATAACGAAATAAACTTCCAGCAGGTTAATTTTATTTTGTATTTTTTTGCAAGTATTTAAAAACTCATTCGTTTTAGCAAAGATTTTTCACAGTTAAAAAAGAAATTGAAAGTCCTGAAAAATGGTTTATTCCTATATCAATGATAAAAGAGTCGGAAAATGGAAATTGGCAAGATTTGTCTACTAAGGGGTGGTTAACCCCAGCGGGAGAATTTAACCTCTCTGAAAATCTACCTGCAAACAATGAATGGATAGTTTTGAATCCGAGACAGACTGGTATGAATTTTCCAGATGTTTAAAAATTAATTATTACTATTGAATTTAAAGGATATTATCGCGTTAACTATGATCAGAAAAATTGGGACTTAATCATCGCAACTTTAAACCACACCGAAAAGTGGCTGATTATTTTAGACATCAACAGAGCACAAATAATTGACGATTCAATGGCACTGGCTTTTGGAAATTACTTGCCTTACGAAACTGCTTTGTCTACGACTGAATACCTGAATCGTGAGACTGAATATTTGCCGTGGAGTACTGCCCTGAAAGCATTTAATTCTCTTCGTGAAAGACTCGTAGATGAAAGTCCCGACCGATTGATTTATTTCAGAGTAAAATCGCATTTTAATTTTAATTTTATTTAACAATTCATTTCTATATAGACGTATGTCTTAAATAAAATGACGCCCTTGTATGATACCTTGAACGGCTTCCAAGTCAATGAAACCGACGGTCACGTGGTCATGCGGAAAAGAAACCTAATTTTGTTGTGGGCGTGCAATTTCGGCCACGACAGCTGCAATAAAGACGCCGCCGCTTTGTTCCAAGAGTGGAAAATAAGACCTTCGCCCGATTTCCAAAATCCGTATAAAACATAATTCGATTCTCTTGTACTAAAAACTGATTTGATCCAAATCCAGAATTCATCCCGACCTGCGGAGTGTGGTTTACTGCCACGGAATGGCGAACGAGGCGGATTACGACTTTTTGATAACGCGGTACACAAAGGCTCAGAGCGCGCCGTCAGAATCGAACACTATTTTATCCGCACTTGGATGCGCTCCAACTCCCGAACTTCTGGAAAAGTATATAATTTTCTACCTCGAAAAAAACTGAACAATTTTGAAATTTGAAGGCTTTTGAATGAGACGGTGAAAGTTGAGGGGTCGATGATACGATCGCAGGACACGAGAAATGTGTTTTCCGCGGTTATCAGTAATCCAGAGGGCGTGGACGTTGCTTTGAATTTTCTGGTCACTCAATACGACGTAATTAAAGTGACGTGAGTAATTATTTAAATTATTAAAGATAATATTCTGTATATTATAACATGTTAATTTTATAATGAAAGGTATCAAGCATTTGGGTCAGCGGCCGGACTGTTCTCCCTGATTTCAGTCAAATTAAACACAGTAGAGCAAAGGGCAAAGGTATTTATCCCCTTAATCAACAACTTTCATAGTCAAATCAAGTCTACTTGCAACAACTGGAGGTTAAAATTTACATTTTTTTTTTTTTTTTTTTTTAATGGCTGTCATTATTGAAAAAAGTTGTTTAGTCATTGCCAAAATGTGCAGACGAGCAATTAATGCTTTTAATGCATTTTTTTTTTTTAATATTATTTTAGTTGGAGCAATTTTTGGTAGACTACCCGGATGAACCGGAAATTGTGAAAACTGTTGTGGAATCTGGAATTGCTATAATAGACGCGAATATTCAGTGGTTGACGGAAAATAAGGAAACCGTGCTGAAGTTCTTTGAAGACCGAGTTAAGGGCGGTGCAGTAATCTTTTTCCTTTCACCGATTGTCCTGATTTTTGCTGGAATTTTCACTAGATTGATGTAGAAATAAAAAGTTCCCTAAATAACAAAAGATTTTTATTCTTCTTTTCAAGCAATATATTTATCTGGTCCTTTTTGAAAAAAAAAAACAACGCTGAGAAAAACTGACATCAAACACTGGAGGGTCATTTTTTCACCCAAAATCCTATTTTATTTCGCTTTTTTTCTTTGGATGAAGTGAGTGTTCATCACTGTTGGCAGCAAATTTACTAATGCGTTTGCCCGTCGCTGGTTATTTTTACTCGGTTAATGGCCGATGTGCCGGATTAGACCGAGAAAACGATTTTTCACACGCCGACCGCTCATTTTTCCTCGCACACACTTTTTCCGAACAACACAATTCTGCGGGCCTAATTGCAAAAGCGTGACTCTCTAACACACCAAGAGTTGCGTATAAACACAATCAGCGGAACGGTTTTTCCCACAAAGGGTCGGAATCGAACAAAAAATCTCTCACGCCCGGCGGCCGACGGGTTGGGGCAGTGAATTTATTTCCATTGGGAGCGCATTTGATTCCACGTTTGCTCTCGCCAAAGAATAATATCAAACTCGCTTCACTCGCAGTTGAGCCAAACAAAACGCCAGCAGCAACTGCGAAAGGGGTAAATAATAAACATAGACACAACTGCTGTGAGCTAGCGCGGCCATCCATATACATGGAGAGCAATCTAATCTGTTCTGTGCATGTTCACACAATATATAAACAATTAATGCAAATGAAAACTGTTGTTGTTCAAGCCGGGAATATATTAAACACGGCGGGACAAGAGCGCGAGCAATAAAAATTGATTGCCGCTCCACTTGCTGGCGAGGAAAATAAAAAAAAAGAGGGAAAAACAGACTGGTCTATTCTAGAGTCGCAGAGAGAAAAAGAGGAAAATGCTGATGGTGGTTTTCTCTTCTAGTATGCACAGTAAATTTTTTACTCTTTTGCTAAATTGAGTTAAAATTGTTCATTTTATTATTCAAACATCACCCATCAAAATGTGAAGCGTAAATTTAATTCCTGGATCATTATAAGTTTTAATCACAAGGCAAATTTTTTTGTCAAATATTTAATCGGAAAAAATGAACAAGTAACAAATTTTTTTCAATATTCATCAACATTCATGGTGCTCAACATAATTATAAATAAAAGGAAATTGGACAAAAGAAAATTTATTAAAAAAAAAAAACTGTCCAAGATAAAATATATCATATTTACCGAAAATTTTATGCTATGTACCTTCTTTTATTAAAAAACTTAAATCCCTTCTTACTTTAATGAACGATAGCGATTTTTTTTTAATTTGGATTAATTTTTAATTGGTAATTGTAAATATAAGAGTATTTGTACAATCATCTATAATAAACTCTACCCCTTGGATAAGCAGCAACAAATAATCAATCAACAAGAAAATGGCATTTTCATTTGCAGCTCGATAATCTTGAAAGCCACGTCGCAATTCTCAATCATCAAAAACGTCCGCTGACTGCAACGCTTTTTTTACCTTTTTAATGCCACGATCAAAAGTTTCAAACTAACACGCCCGGAGTGAATTATGTTGCTTTGTCATGCGACAGTGAACCGCACGTTTACCAGGACACGCTTTTACTTAATTTGCAATTTAAACATGGAGTAAATTAGGCGCAGCATGTGACCATTTTCTCCGCATTTTTGTCTGACAACCGATTTTTCATAAATTATGACAACAATAAAACACGCCCGAGTTGGTTTATGGATAAACTTCAAACGGCCGATCCGAATATGCACGAAGCGATTTACAAACACGTTTTCTACGCTCGGCCGAACTGATGGATTCGATAATTTCATTTTGCAAACATCAGAGCGGGATAGCAATAATGGTTCCGGAGCCCCACGATCAAAAGAGGGAAAAACTCTGTGCATAACATTACCGGTCGAGATATATGGCGGGTCTGGAAGGGGTGCTGGAGATGCACTCTGCATTATTGGCAAACGTGCAAGTTTACCTGCCTGTCGTCGGCATAGCAGAGACCGTAACTACTTTTCCCGAGGTGCAACTAACTGGGTCATAGATAATCAAAGTGCAGTGTGGTGTTCGGTGCGATTATGGTACGGAGAGAGGTGAGAAATAGCACCTCCTCAACTTGTATCTTCTAGAGAACTTGTATATAAATGATGTTGCCTGTGATACCCAGAGGAACAACTTTGAAAAGAAATGGAGAAAATATGTGTATTTTTGTGTGGAAAAATTTAACACTCTAAGCAGTATTAATAAAATTGTAAAGTTCTTGAACATTTTTGATAAAGTTTAAATTATTTTTATAACTAACATAAATCTACAAGGATGCTTCCAAATTCTGTTGATGCGATATTAGAAGGTTTAGAATTACTAGACTATAATAATAAATACATAAATTATTTTTTTTAATATAAAATTATTTTCACGTCAATTTTAATTATATTTTTTTATGGATTTCAATATTTGTGTTTAATAAATATATTGTTTTATTGATTCCTTTTTAATTAATTGCTAATTCGCCAGATCAACTTTTCATCTGCATTTACCACTTTTATAAAACCCAATCCAAATCTGTTTGTGTCAGGAAAGTTAAAAAATTTATAAAACATTACAAACAGGATATCTTGAAAATAGATATTTCACAATAAATTCTGACTTCTCCGGACCTGTTTTCTCAGACAATATTATAAGTAGTTAATAAAAACATATTGATTGAAATAAGAAAATAAAATTATAAGTCAATTAAATTTCTTAATTAAACCAATTTAATTATTTTAATAATAAATTTTTTTTAATTCTTACCAACAAAATTAATATTTTCTTGAAGTGAATTAAGAATAATTCCCACTGTGAGAAATGCATCTCACGATAATATCTCTCAATGAAACACCAAAGTGCAGATCAAGTGGCTGCTGATTGTGGGAATTGGCGCGGCTCTCAAATCCCAATACAAACACCCATTGTGCGATGGGCGCAGCAGCGAGCGATGACGTGCGTCGTTCACTTGCGGCTTGTCTCTGACGGTGCCCACGTGTGCACCCAAAGCGGAACGAAAATCGATGCATCGAAAAATTCTTCGCGCGCCGAATTCTTGGCACCGACGGCTCTTGGCACTCGGCCGCCTGTTTATTGGCATGTCGGCGATAAGCTTATACACATAATTATCGGCGGGCCGATGCATTATTCGCGCCGCGGGCTAAAAAGAATATAAATTGAGGGAGTTTGAAGTGTAACAAATAACAAGATCTGGCTTCCAAATTATGGATGCTGGCAAGATTTATAATTTAAAGGATTTGTGCCACTAAAAAACTTTTATTATGTTTGTGCTGGAATTTTGTGATTTGTTTTAATTTTTTTTTTTCAAAAAATTAAATAAATTGCAATATAAAGATTGTAAGAGATTTTTTTATAATAATTTATAATTAATAAAAATATTAAGTTTTCATAGATAATTAAATATCTTTTTACTATTAAGTTGGTAATAAATTATTATTTTAAGAGGCATTACTCAAATTATTACAAGAATTTCATACCAAACTTATAATTTATAAATTCAATCAAATTTGTAAGAAAATTCCAATAGACTAAATCATTATTATTATTGAATGACAATTAATCCACACACACGCAGTTTTTTTTCAGAATTTAAACTAATTATCACTTTTTATATTGTTTTGTGAAAGAACATTTTATCATTTTCTAAATTCTGACTCCGGGACCAATTTTCTGCGAGCCCATTTGTCCGATGAAGCACATGACAAACAAATCACCACGTCACGTCACTGAAAAATTTATCTGCTCCATTGGCCTACCCGTGCGAGCACAAAGCGAACGAATTTGCATAAATTCTCGCCTATAATCCGTCACCCCCGGCGCTCCACGATAACAGTTGCCGACCCTTTCATGCAATTTGTGCGAATGATTGCCGCGCGCAATATTAAAAGTACAGCGCGAACTGACGATGGACGGACAGTTCACTTTGTCAATTGATTTGACATCGATGACAATGACCGGCCGACCGTGAATTTATCGCCGATTGCAAAATTCAGTGCAGTGCACTGGGCCATCAATTTGTGAATTATATTCTCGTAAAAGCACTCAGAGGCCGCAACAAGCTTGCTCGCCAAATTGGCCACTTTTGTGCCTGACCATCAAATACTGGCCACCCTCGATGGCCCATTGTGTTCATCCTGATGTCCTACGAACGCGAGTAGAATAATTAGACCGGTGAAAATAGGCCCTTTTGAAATTTTTTCAATACTCTCTAAATTTGATTTTGACAATGGATCTTTTGCACATCTGACATTCTAATAAGGACACTAAGGACTTGCTTTGCACTTTTTGATGAGAAAAAAATAACGATTTCTCTAGATCATTGGACTATTTAGAGACTTGATAGTTTAGAACTATGGTATTGTGCAAAACTATACATTTATTTTCTATAAAAATTGTATTCTACAGTTGAAAAAATATATTTTTACATTTTAGATGCTAAAACCAGTTTCGTCTTTACTTCTGCAGTTCAATTTAGTAATACAATTATTTAAATTAAAGTTTAAAACTTCAAAATGTTAAATTTAATAATTTTGGAAGTTCTATTACGCAATTTTGAAAGGTTAAATTTTTTTCTATTTATTAACAAATTTAATTTTTGTTTTATTTAACAAATTTAAAACAATAAATTTAATGAAATGTTTCAATTTATATAATTTTTTAGTTTTAAAGTAACATTTAAATATGTACATAATTATTCTCACTGATACTCAGGAATTAATAAATCAACGTTTATTTCATTTAAAGAGCCGAAATTATTAGTATTGAAATAGAAGGAACCATTTGCAATTCATGATGAATTTAACTGAATTTAACCAGAAATATCAAATTATTTTAATATGTAAGTAATTATCTCATATATTTAGCACACTGTTCCATTAAATTGTATTATTTATATTCATTTTTTTACGCGTGAAGTTCGGAATTAAATCATTGATCATTGCCCTTTCGACCATACTGGGTAAATTCAGTGAACAATTTTTTTTCTAGTGCTAAATAAATAAATA